TGCATGATGGGGTGAATTCCTGTCACTAGTCCCAGCTTCTGCCAATCTCGCAGTTCTAAAGCATGCAAATAGGTACCACTTCAGTGGGAAGGTAAACAGCATTCTGTGCAATCATGCTGGCCACATGATCACAGAGTAGTCTCTGACAACGCTGGCTCTTTGGCTTAGTAATGGAGACGAGTACCACCCTCTACAGTCAGACACGACTTGACAATCTTGTCAATGGGGAATACCTTTACCTTTTTACTAATTCAGTAGGCCTAGTCTAACTGGGATTAATCAATAGGATCCAAACAATAAATAGAATGGAAGGTCTTGCTTGCTAGTTATCTTGATGGGGTGCGATGTAGGGTCCAGCAAACTCCAGCAAAACAATGATGAGGTGGGAGCCATGAGATCCATGAAGGAAGAGAAGAACATGGATTCCATGCTAGTAAATCATATTCTTATTAGTAACTTATCTTAGCTTCCATAATTGCTTCATAGAGAACAGCAGTAATAGAAGGAAAATAAAGATGGATCCCAATTCCAGATGGGATATTTTATCCATGTTGATGTGTACACAGTAAAGACATAATAACAATAGCTCTGATGTTTCAGCAAACATAGTTGAGCCAGTCAGGTATAGACCTTTTCATTTGTGTTCAGTAGCCACCACATACACACATACCCCCCATATATGCACATATATACATGAAAAATGGCTAACACAGGAACACAAATGAAAGTTGTAATGGACAGTAAGCTTTCAGGTTTGGATCCAAGACCCCAAGCAGCTCAATTTGGGCTGCATTCAATTGTTTCCAAAGCATCACATGTGCTCCAAGACATCTCAGCAATACATTTCTGCAGCAATACAACCCTTGTATGCTGAAAAAAATTCTATTCCAAACAGGGATGATGAGCATCCCCCGCCAGCCGCTGTTATAATCTGACTGATCCACAGGATGCCAGCACTTGACAGAGAGAGCCTCTCCATCCTCTTGTTTTTTTTTTTTGCCAAAAACATTGAGAGTAGTGACAACCAAACTCTCTCAACATGTGACATCTGTCAGCTCCCTGGATGCCTTACATTTGGGCTTCAGACCAGAGCACAGCTTGGAGATAGACCTAGTAGCACTAAAAGATGACCTCCTCTTGGCAGTTTGAAAAAAGCGATATTGCAAGCGCCCATACAACTTGTTTCTTATCTCTGGATTTTAATTAAAACTGATAAAAAAGAAATTTGGGAAGCAGGAGGCGGGATGGAGAGAGAGGGAGAGACAGATGAATCCAAGCCTGTCCAGGTCCTGAGAGCAAATTTAAACCAGAGTCTCCAGATTTGGGAGACTCTACCCTTTAGGTATATGGAAACCTGAGATTGAGAACCCCACTGGAGCACCATTTTTGAGAGAATGAAGGCATATGGTTTTGGATTTTTCTATCCCATCTATACTATAATTAGAACCTTTGTTAATACATCACAATTTCTGATCTCCCTGTTTTTTGTGGGAGAAGGATGACTGTACTACAAAAATGATGGCTTGCATTTCACTTATTTTTTATTATAATTTTTCTTGTGGAAGTTACCAGAATAAACAAAGAAAAAAAATAACATATTGCAAAGAATATGTGTGGAGAATGCTAAAAGAGGTAAGAATTTTTTACTCTTGGTTCCTTCATTACACATGGTGGTAAAATTACAAATATCTTCAGTACTATCCAAATCTCTTGCCTGGGGTAAGGTCCACTAGATGACAATATGTAATAGTGCTGATTTGCAATTTATGAGTACAGTCTTTTAAGGGTGGACCTTTCAAAGTGTTATGGACTATAAACCTCATTATTGCCAACCATTGGCCTTCCTGGCTGGGATTGATATGAATTATAGGTCAAAACATTACCAGATAGTCTCCCATTCAAGCCTAATCCTGTTTACCTTCCCGAATCAAATAAGGTTGGTGAGTCTGTCCTTTGTTGTTGTTGCTGTTAACTGTCTTTGCGTTGATCTCAACCCATGGCAACCCTGCTGATGAGACATCTCCAAGACCCCCTGTCCTCCATTGCTATAGCATCATCCTATATAAGGGTGAATCCAAGCCTGTCCAGGTCCTGAGAGCAAATTTAAGCCAGAGACTATGACAAGTAGTCCTGCCTTGTATAGTCTCTGTTTCTCTGTATATGCATGGTTGATACCTACTAAGTACAGAGGAATTTGAGTCAGTGGGTTAACACAGAAAAGAAACAGGCATTTTATTACAAGAACTCTTCCAGACACATAACATTTCCAGGGAGGGTGTATTTCACAGTTCTCTCAGATACGTTTGTATCACACCATAACCTTTCCCTGAACTTTCTCAGCTCAGGGTGCTAACAACCTCCTCCCAGATGGCCCCAAATGCCTATCTAGACTGCTTCTTTTTAAACAGATCTTGCCCCTGCTTTCTCCCCTTTATTTCCAGCCCAGCTTCTCAACATTCAATTGGCTTTCATTGGTTGAACCAAGGAGAAGGTCCTGTCTGTCACATCCTAACTATATTTATTCTGAAGTTAAATCACACTGAGCTTGATGGGATTTAATCCTTTCTAAGCAGGCTTAAAGTTTCTACCTTAGGAACTAGGGGACCTTTCATGCTACACAATTATAGCCCTATGATTCCACTTTAATATCCATAGTTCTGTCCTATGGAATCCACACATGTGTAGTTTGATGAGGCACTAGAATTCTCTATCTGAGATGTCTAAATTCTGCTCCTTATACTGCAAATCCCAGGATTCCACAAGATATTTCCATGGCAAAGTAGAATCATAGTGCTACAATTTTGTATTGTGGAAGGGCCCCTGGACCATGTAAAAGTATAATGATGGGTGCAAAATGCAATAACTTAGGGATCCAGTGTTAATTTTAAACCTTCGTTATGCTATTTTTCCTGATGTAAATTCTCCCCTCCTAAGTAGAGTAGCCATTTATAGCCACCCTCAACCCCCCCATAAAAAGTAATAAAGACAAAAAAGACATGCATCACACATACAAAAAGGAAGAGACAGTGTGGTGTAGTGGTTTGGGCATTGGACTGGGACCCTAGAGGCCAAGGTGTGAATCCTTGCTCAGTCATAGAAATCAACTTTGTGACTTTAGACAAGTCATACTCTCTCAGCCTTAGAGGAAGGCAAAGGCAAGCTCCCTCTGACTAAATCTTGCCAATAAAACCCTGTGATAGGTTCACTTTAGGGTTGCCATAGGCTGGAAACAATTTGAAGGCACGAAACAAGAAGTGACAAAAATATGCCATTTTGCATAAAGCTGCATATTGTAATTTAGAGGTAGAGTTGCTATATCAGAAAAACATTTCAACACAACTGCCATACATTTTACCAGTATGGGTAAGACAATGTCCAGGTGATCTGCATACCTGCTGAGTCTTTAATTGTCGCTGTGCAACTTTCTGTACCCTGATCTCCCCACTATTGGTACTTTATCTTGAAACCAACCTTGGACAAGACATCCCTTCAAACAGAGGACAACTTCAAAAAGAGTGCTATCCTTTGAGAACCATTCAACTAGAAACCTGTGTTCTGGCAAACAGACCAACTATATAGAAGCACAACCCAGAAGGGTTAATAGCAGCTTTCATTAGGAGGTGGGGCATTTTAAATCCAGAAAATGATTTGTGTGGATGTGTGGAGCTCAGGAAAAAAAATTCTCCAGCACTGCTGCTGTTCAAATTCAAGGAGTAGGGATGCAAAAACTTTCACTTTCAATTTTGTTCTGTCTCATCTTAGCCCTACAATATTCTTGTCCCATTGTTGGTTCATATGGCACTATGACACTTGAACTGGAAACCTGTTAGTAAGTTGTGATGGCATACATTGGATTTAACACCAAAACACACTTTTTGGGTCATCATGGAGGTTGGAATCCTCCACTAACCATGCGATGACCAACCCCCATAACCTACTTTTTCTCAGCTGTGCCCCCCCTGACACCTTCTCCTCATTCCCACCATCCATTTCCTGGCTGGTGGAGGGGTAGCTGGGCTGCAGCAATCAAATATTGGGCTATCTTCCTTAAGATTGCTGTAGTTGGAGGCACAGCAATGACACCATCTTCAGGACCTGTGGAAGATGGCAAAGGGGTCCCAGGGGGTATCTGCCACTATACATCTAGCTTTAGGAAAATATCTGGATGCCTCTGATGCCCCATACACTCTCCACTAGCTAGGAAATGGCCGTATGTGTATGTGTTGTGTGTGAGGTGGTGGCGCAGAATACTATCCAGCATTTTATAGAACCAGGACATGTGGCCATGTGAGCGATCTATAGTAGGCAGCATCCACATGAGGTCTCTCATCTGGATTTGAACCCAGCCTGATTCAGCTGAGCAAATGTACAAGACTTATGGTGGGCATCTCATGACTGGGCTGGAGGTCATTAGTAATTGCAGCAGAATATATAGCTCCTGTGAAAGCCAGCATGGTGTGATGATTTGAGCATTGGATTATGACTCTGGAGATCAGGGTTTGATTCCCTGCTCAAGCATAAAAATCTGATGGGTGACCAGTCTCAAAGGATGACAATGGCAAATCCCCTCTGAATAAATTTGCCAGGAAAACCTTATGATAGGTTTACCTTAGGGTCACCATATGTAAAAAATGACTCGGAGTGACACAACAACAAAGTGCCTCCTATATGTAAGAGACAGGTCTATTTATCCCCCCCCCCCCATGATGATGCCTATAACTAGTTCTTTGGCTAATAATACAAACATTGTGTCAATGCAAAAGTTACATCACCAGCCAGTGATAAGAAAGGCAAATATATGGGAATCTCCAAGAAACACGAAATATATGGGAATCTCCACACACGAGACCCTGAAGATGTGTGGCCATGTGAGTAATCTACAGTATCCACATGCTTTCTCCTATCCTTTGACCTAGTTTGATCCAGCTGAGCAATTGTGACTTGTTTGCAACAGTGAAGCAACAGCAAAGTGCGGTCAGGACAGCAAAATCTTTGCTCTCCCCTCTCCTCTCCCTCCACTGAGTTGAGTGTAAACTGCTTTTGGGCATTGCCTCAGTTTGCAGCTATGAAAATAAGCTAAGGACAAAGGGAGAAAGTGGTAAGAAGAGAAGGAAACTGGAACATATTAAAAGTAGCTGAAAATAGGATTAATCAAGAATGTCCTTGCCAAATCTGTAAACTTGGAGGGTATTCTGGAGTGATGCAGACATACCACATCTATATGCCCTGATCCAGGATCTCATCCTTTGTTTTTAATTCTTGCAAGGGAACATGTGTATTCCACGCCTCCACTTTTTTTTTTAATGTACATACTTTTGTATGTATTTTAATCCATTTCCCACACAATTTCCCCCAAGCATGCTCATGCATATATTTTTTAATTGTTTGCATTTTGGGCAGTGAACATTTTAAAAATATATGCATGGTTTTATGTACTCTATACAAAATAAAGATTCTGGAGGCAAGGTGTGCTTTATGTGGCAGTGATTCACAGGAAGTGTGAAATGATTACTTCTGTTTCGTTTGGTTGGGTTCAAAGTAATTTTCCCTTCCATCGAAGGCTGGGAGTTCCAGTTGCAAATCTTCAATAATAATAATAATAATAATAATAATAATAATAATAATAA